GGGTGCTAACAGGTGGGATCGAGTCAATGGCAGTGGGTTTAAGTCTTGAGTTGTGGTATTTTGATTATTGGGTATGTATTTATTGTACCTTCAAGGCTTGGGAGGTTGACATCTTTTAAACATTTCCCTGAGTGTCTCTGCTTTATATTGCCTTATCCTATTATTGGAGGGATGACAAGGGTCCGTTCCGCAAGGCTGTCTCATTCCTATCATTCCAATCACAGTGCTCCACCAATTTGGGAAATGGGCAATGGAGAAAAAGAAAGTACTCTTGGTGGCCTCTGTGTTGCTACAAGGCTGGAAACTCTGCCCCCAGTATTTCAAATTCCAGGGGGGTCACCCATGGTGAACCAGTTTCAGTGGAGCCGCCGGAAGACGACAAGGGAGGAAGAAAGGCCTGGCGACCTTTTTAAAAAAATGAGGCAATGAAAACCCACTGGATCGTAACAGAATATTATCTGATATAGTGTGGGGGGCAGGGGTGTGTGTGCAAAGATGGGACTTTGCACTCCCATAAACAGTTACAGTCTCTGAAACTCCCAGGGGCAGTTCTGCCCCTGTCCTAGAGGGCTGCTATGGGTTACCATCAGCTCCTGGCAGTGAATGTTTCTGAATACAGTCGGGGAGCTGGATCTAGGATGAAGCCATTGACCATAAACAGTGGCGACAATGACACATGGAAACATCCACTATCCTGAAGGTAGTGCGAGACCAGGCAACACTCTGCCTTTGGTGTTTGTGGGGTCTTCCCCGAGTGAGGACCAAGCAATGGCTAATGAACTCAATGGCTGGAAGGGATGTGAAGCTTCCGTCTGGTTAGAGATGTCTTCTCAGAGGAGCCTCTCCACAAGCTCTAAGGCCAAGCTGGGCCTGCTGAGGCCAGAGCTCCCCTTGAGTAAGCTGGGTTAGGGCCCAACCGGTGTAAAGTTGTTCAAATTTAAAACAGTTGTGGCTTCTCTGTAATAACTCTTCCCTGAAATAACGTCGGGGTGGGGTGGGGGTGGGGGCAGAATGCGTGGTACTGTGGGAGAAAGCATGGCCAAAAGAACATGTTGTCTGGGAATTTCTTGGTCAAGAAGATGTGACTCATGGAGTACACATAACAAGGCCGCTCAGGCAAGGGACGGCTGGCAATCGGAGGAGCCTCAAACTTTGAAGGGCACTTCGCCTCATTCCCCCTCTCCCCTCCCCCTGAGCCCAGTGCGTGTTACCAGTATCACATAAATAAAATCCACACAGCAAGAGCTTGCTAAGCTGTATTTTTCTTCCATCTCTTTCCCAATGAGCTTTGCCTAGTTCCTTTTAAATTAAAACCCAAAAAACCTGGTTCCCTCCCACCCCCCTGTCTGCTTATAAAACATATTGGCTTTATTTACTAAGCAAAAGAATTTTTTAAGGAAATCCCAGTTAGGCAAGATTTTATTTCACAAACTAACTTTCTCAGGGAAAATCTTTTTTTTTGCTCTTCTGTTATTAATCTACAAAGATAAAATGCCACATGTCATCAAGATGCCGCCAACTGACGTGAGGGATGGAGTGTGTGTTTGGCATGTTGTGAGGCACAGTTGGCCTGGGTGACCTCTACCATGTGAGTTGTCCTGGCTCACCTGCAGAGGGAGCTAAAAAGTCCAACACAGTGTTTCTCAATCTTCCTCATGCCGTGACCTTTTAATACAGTTCCTCATGTGGTAGTTACCCCCAACCATAACATTATTTTTGTTGCTCTCCATCACTGTCATTTTGCAACTGTTATGAATCATAATGTAAACATCTGATCTACAGGATGTATTTTCATTGTGACAAATT